TCCGTTGTTCAAAGCGATGGTGATATAGATGGGGGTGTTAATAGTAGAATTCAAGTTGGTTGGTTGAAGTGGAGGAATGCTTCGGGCCTTTTGTGTGATAGAAAAGTACCGCTAAGACTGAAAGGAAAATTTTATAAGATGGTGGTGAGACCTGCAATGCTCTATGGCGCTGAATGTTGGCCTTTAAAAGAGAAGCATAATAATAAGTTAAGTGTTGCCGAGATGAGAATGATTAGGTGGATGAGTGGCTTTACACTTAGAGACAAAATGCGGAATGAATATATTTGTGATAGGGTTGGTGTAGCTCCTGTGACAGACAAAATTAGAGAAAGTCGTCTTAGATGGTTTGGTCATATTAAACGTCGACCATTAGATGATCCGATTAGGAGAGTAGATGTTTTAAATTCGACTTGTGTTAAGAAAGGCAGAGGTAGACCTAGGAAGACTTGGGCTTATTGTATTAAAAATGATCTTAATTTACTAGAACTAAATGAAAATATGACACTAAATAGGACGCAATGGAGAAAAAGGATTCATGTAGCCGACCCCACGTAGTGGGATTAAGGCTTTGTTGTTGTTGTTGTTGTTGTTGTTGTATTTTAAGTCAATGATTAGGAAAGGAGAAAAGAAAAACCAAATGTAAAGCAGAAAGAAGTTGTTCAAAATGATTTATAAAGAATATGTTGAATACCTCAAGAAGCAATAAAAAAGAACAAATGAAAAATAAGGATTCATAATTCTACCCTCATATAATTGGGATAAGGCTAGTGGATGATAAGGAACAAGACATCCTCACTACTTTGCAAACTACAAAGCATTCAATAGTCTTAGTAAACAAGCAACGATAACACAGACCAAAATAACCTAACAAATTAAAGATGGAATTAAACACATGAATGAATTTCTGGACCTCTGTTACGACATTTTGGATAATCCTTAATCATATCATAATTTAATCCTAATATGCAACATACTCATTTGCTTGAATTGTATGGCCAAAAGAAAACTACAACCACACCGACATCACTGCAATACATCTTTAAAATTATCTAACATCTAGATTTAATCATAATTCCTTAGTTTGAAAGAAAAAAGAATACTTCAATCCAAGTAATGGAAAATTTGAAGCTTATTTTACTTCTTCCTCTACAAATAAACTTTTAATTTTCTAACATCTTTCTTATAAATCAAATGGCTAGCCAAGGGAATCTTAAAGTGCAATCCCAATAAAATATCAACTTTGGCACTTTGATTGGTATTTTGTCATCCGAACTTTGATTTATTTATAAGTATGAGAGCTGAATTATTCCAACAACAATAAGTCTCAATCGTGTTAAGTGGGGTTGGCTACATGAATCATTTTTTATCCATTGTGTCCTATTGAGTGTCATTTAATTTAATTCTAATAAATTATGATCATTTTTATACAACATGCCCAAGTCTTTTTAGGCCTACCTCTGCCTTCCTTAGCATAAAATCAAATATAAAATATTTACTCTCCTATGGTCAACATTTAATGTGACCAAACCATCTAAGTCGACTCTCTTTAATTTTGTCTATCACCAAAGCTACTCCAACGCTTTCACGGATATATTCGTTCTGCATTTTTTCTGTGTAAAACCACTTATCCATCCGAGCTCTCATCTCAGTAACACATAAATTAATTTTATGTTTCTCTTTTATAGGCCAACATTTTGCTCTATAAAGCATTACAGAACTCACCATCATCTTATAAATTTTTGCTTTAAGTCTAAGTAGTAATTTTCTATCACACAATAGGCATGATGCATTCCTCCACTTCAACCATCCAACTTGAATTATACTAATACCATCCCCATATGTATCACAATTACTTTAATCAATAAACCCAAGATATCTAAAATATTTACTCTTTTTAATGACTTGATTGCCCATCGTTACAACCACGCTACTGGATCTATTATTACTAAAATTGCATTTCATGTATTCAGTTTTAGATCTATTCAAATGAAAATTTTTAAACTCTAAAGTTGGCCTCCATAATTCATGTTTGAACTCTCTCTCTAGTCTTATCCACAAGAAGGATATCATCAACAAAAAGAATACACCAAAATACATCTTCCCATAAATGTCCAATAAAAGCATCATAACTAAAGAAAAAGGATATGGGCTTAAAGCCATCCCTGATGTAATCCAATTGAAATATGAAAATATTGGGTTAATCCAACATTTGTTCGAACACAAGTAATAACTTTAGTTACATATCTTTAACAACTTGAACATAAACAATATCAAAACTTCTCTTTTCTAGAACCCTCTAAAATACTTCTCTTGGAATTTTATCATATGTTTTTTTCTAAATCAACAAAAATCTTGTGGATCCTGCTTACTCTTTCTATACTTTTTCATCACATCTCTTAATAAATGTATAGCTTCCATAGTAGAATTGCCCGGCATGAATCCAAACTAATTTTGAGAAATTATTGAATCACGTCATAACCTATGTTCAATTACTCTCGCTCATAACTTTAATGTATGATACATTAATTTAATTTATCTATAATTTGTACACTCTTGTAAATCCTCTTTATTCTTAAAAATAGGAATCAATAGAATCTTTCTCTACTCATCAAGCATCTTTTCAGTTTTTAAAATAATATTAAAAAATTTAGTAAGCTAAGAAATTCCCAGTTCTCCTAAATATTTTCACAATTCTATTGAAATATCATCATGTCTACTACTTTTGCACACTTCAATTTCTTTGAAGTCTCGTCAATTTTTATTTTACTAATATAGCAGTGGGAATAAAATATTGTTATTATTTATGATATTAAGATCAATAAAATCATCGTATTTTCGCAATCTTCATTGAAAATTTGATCAAAATATCATACCCACCTATGTTGAATATCCTCATCTAAAAAAATTATTTTTTTGATTTCATCATTAATACGCTTTACTTGAACTAGAGAGTTAAATAATTCTAAGTTTATAAAATTAAAGGCAATAGCTACGGGCCTTTTTGAAGAAGTAATTAAGCACTTATCTTTACAACTTAATTATGACATAAATGGCAAAAAGATTTTTCTTTCAAACATTAAGATTTTTCCACAAAGCTCGTGTAAGGATAATTTTTGGATAAAATACCAAATAGAAGCATGAACAATAAATGCTTTTATTTACATGTTTCAGCCCTATTATTTTATTTTTCAAAATTTAAAATGCAACAAAAAATACCTGTCTCCTTGCTCACTGTGCTCCACAAAATCAAGATTCCATTTTGAAACTCTTTGAATAGCTGCATAACCTCCGGTAGCAAATGCTCTAAGAAGGTTCAAAGTACCTGCAGATTGGCTATAAGCTCTAAGCAATCTTTTGGGATCTGGCCTTCGAGCATCCTCATTAAAATAATCATTGTTGATGTTATCTCCTTGATAACTAGGAAGCTTCACACCATCGATCATCTCAAAGGGTTCTGATCGTGGTTTAGCAAATTGTCCTGCCATTCTTCCAACCTAAGAAATAAAGACAAAACTCAGAATCAATTTTTAAATAATTGTAAATTAACCAAAAAAAACAAAACATCACAACTCAAAAGGGAAAATACTCACCAAGGAAATGAAAAAGAGGAAGTATTTTATAAGTTAACATTGAAGAGCAAAGCAATACTTTTAATTACAAAAAAAAATTAAATTTATATAGCTCTACCAAAATTATTTTTTTATGGTCAATGATAGTTAATCTAGTTAATGATTGATTAATTCAAAACTTTTAATAGTCTTTCCATTTGAACTTCCCTCTTACTATAAACATTAGACGCCCTATTAAGTTCACTAATGCTGAAGATCTTATTAGTATAATGTTACTTCACACTGACACTTGAAGGCTTGTGTTATTATCGTATTGTACTCGGTCCATTTTTCAATTTAAATTTTTCTTATTTTCTTAATTCAACTAAAACTTGTGTTGTAAGAAATCTAAGCATGTAGACATGGGTCGTTTAAATTCCACACAAGATTGCTCAAGTAACTGCAAAGCAAATTATTAGAAAAGAGAGTGATATCAATTGAAGAGCAAGTGTAATGAACTGCAAAGTAATTATAAAAGAGAAATCAAAAATTACAAAAAAAAATCAATATTTTTTGCAATTCGTCTTAAATAAACCTAAGCCCACAACTATACAGAGATCAAATAATTCACTATACTTCAAAAGAGATACATAAGAATACAATACTTTATCTAGCTAAGAGAAAATCAATCATCTACTATAAAGGTGAAGACTAAAAGTTTCTTCTCTTGAAGAAGCCAAATAACTCTACTTTAAAGCACCAAAAGACTTCTTTATTTATTTTTTTACATGACGCTACTCTTCTCTATTTCTCTTTCTCCCCTCTCTTTGCAACTTCTTATAGCAGATGATATCTAGTGGAGATTACATAGAGCTATAGCATTAATAATCAACCACCATTAAAAACTTTTATAGCTTTCTTGGCAGACTTTATAATAGTCTTCACTTAAGACTTTATAATAATATCCATTTAGAATATTATGATAGCCTCAATTTAAGACTTTTTAATAACTCCAATGAAAACATTGAAGTAGCCATCAATTGTAAAAAACAAGATAAAAATTTATCAAAAAATAATAATAAAATTATATTCCACACTTAACAATCTTCTACTCTTCATTATTAAAACCTAAATAATTTTCTTCTACGCAACATAATTTTATCAATCGTGAATGTTAATTAAAGCTTTACACTACCTCAATTTAGAAGTGGCAAACATATGAAATATTGCATTGTTATTATGTTGCATTTTTATTCTAATTTTTTATCTATCATGCAACGCCAATTTATCATTTGGAAGCTCACATATGACAGAAATATTATTTTGCACTATTTTTTTCAGAATCATCAGCAATAGATTTCAGTATAGCTCCTGCCTTTTTAGTACTTGATGTCATATGCATGGCACCATCTTTTCATTCATGAGTTATTATTATAATTATTGAATCAACACTTCAACACTTAATATTAAATTATGCAACACACATTCTACTAACACTATGTACCTTTAAGGAAACCAATGTGCCCTCATACACTTAAAAGGCATTTTATCAGAGAATTTATATCCTGCAACAATAAAAGTGCTTAAGAATATTAAATTTGCTTTCAACTTTGATTCATGCTGAACACTAACAAAAGATATAGTTACGCCTCCATGGGCTTTTAATTTTATATTACTAAAACCTCCGATTGACCTTGCACATAGTTATATTTCTCGTATAAATAAATCTATAATAAAATGGCTTGTATATGAAACGTATGTCTAAATTAGAACATGTGATTAGAAAAATACAAGTATAAAACCCACTATTCTATACACCTATTTTCTTGCGACAATAAAAAATATCACCAATTTTATGACCAAAAAATCTTCAATAAAACTTATATCAGTTGATTAATCATTTTTTTAATATCATTTACTACTTTCTCTTCTTCAAAGCAAATCTTTTTTATTATATACCCTTTTCTCTTATAATAGACTTGGGCTTGTTGTATAAAAAATGATATTAATTTATTATTAATTTATTAGAATTGTATTAGAATTGAATGAAAATATGACACCAAATAGGACACAATGGAGAAAAAGGATTCAAGTAGCCGACCCCAAGTGGTGGGATTAAGGTTTTGTTGTTGTTGTTGTCGTTGTTGTTGTACCCTTTTCTCTTATAATAGAAATAAGTAATATTATTAAATTTTAGTCAAAAAAATATTACTATCATATTTTGAGGAGAACCCTCGATTATAGAGCCTCCCTGTAACTTGCAATAACTCTGCTAGTTTGTCACCTCCTTTAAATTAAGAAAATTTTTAATATCCTCTAAACTTATTGTATCGCAATTATATAATATGATAGCTCAAAAATCTTGTAAGATTAAAGTAAAGAGCACACTAACAACAAAGTTTGATCTTCAATATAAAGAATCACGTTAACATTCCTCAAATTTTGAATGGTTTAATTAAATTCATTTAAATATGATTTAATAAGCATACCTTCCTACATGCAAAACAAATATAATATTTGCATAAAATTTGTCAAACCAACTTTTATTCACATACAAAAACTCCAACTTAAGTCATGAACCTCTTGTAGTTGTCTCTTTTGCGACATCTATCAAAATCTCAATCCACCAAACATTGAATTAATGTGAGAGCCTTCTCATTCATTTCGATCTTATATCTTCATTCATTATTCGATGGATCTTATTATACCCTCATGCATGCTTTTATAAGCTTAAGTTGGACAAATATGCCACGTATCTTGATTCTTTAAAGGCTGAAACTTTTTGAGCTATCAAACATTTTAATATTGAACTTTATAGTCACCGCACTTTTTATAACCTTGCTTAGAAACGAAATGTTAGGAAGAAGAATGCTCTCAATCTAAAAAATGAATCACAAAGTTCTTGTAAAAGAAATATAAAAACTAATAAAAGAGAAAGCTGAAATTCATGTTGTTTGATTTACATAAAAATTTATCCATAACCACACAGAGATCAAATGATCCACTCAACTTCAAAAAAGTTACATGAAGAATAATACTTAAGAAAAAAATTAAAGATGTGGACGAAGCTAGATATCACTTTATCTGTCAAAGAGAAAATGCAGTCACCAACTGCAAAAATTAAAACAAGACTTCTTCTTCCTTGAAGAAGCCAAAAAACTCCCATTGCAAGCCCCTGAAAAATTTATTCTTTTATTTTTTGGATGATGCCTCTTATCACTTCCTCTTTGTCTCATCGCTTAGTTATTTTCTAGTAGATACTAAACTAAGTGAGGATTATGAGTTTGTATAGTGAAATTTTCACCTTCTAACATTAATTATCAAATATCACTAAAGACTTTAATAGTTTATGCCATATGCTTTTATGCTAGCCTATATTTAGGACTTACTAAAAGCCTTCATTTAGGACAGTTTAGTAGCCTCTATGTAAAACCTTTTTGATAGCCTCTTATTTGAATTTCATAGTAACCACCAATCATGTCAAAATAAAATCAAATCTCATCTAAGATAATTAATAAAATTAGACTCCAAAAATGTCATTGCATGGGTTGCTCAATCCCCATAAAGAATACTTGGGCTACTAAAGCATGTACTAATATTTGATTTGCTAGAAACCTTTCCAGAATGAAATGGATACAGAAATACCTGGGCCCTCAACAACCCATGTTGAATGTTTGGGATGCAATACAAACTTAAAAAAAAATAATCTTTTTTTTTTTTTTTTTTGGCAAAATGGGTAAACTGAAGTAGTTTTTAAAAAAACAAAATTCCCCTGAGATCAATAGTAGCATACAACAGGGAAAGTAACCAGAAAAACGATTAAATAAAAATTACTTTTTTTGATATATTTCTCTACAAGAATAAACAAAAGATCACTCGCAAGGGTGACAAGTCAAAGACTAGAAAGTCGGTGGAAATTTTTTGCTAGATAAATGTTATCAAAAACTTCATAAAGACACAGAAAAAAAAAGGCCAAGAATCACGAACCTTTATGATGGGCATCTGTCCTCCAAATGTTAACACCACTCCCATCTGCAACAAAACCCTAAATGTATCCCTGATGTTATTGGCGTTAAATTCCTTGAAGCTCTCGGCACAATCGCCGCCCTGGAGAAGGAACGCCCTCCCCATGGCCGCCTCACTCAATCTTTCTTCAAGCTTCCTTGCCTCGCCTGCGAAAACGAGCGGCGGATATGTCTCCAAATCCCGGAGGACGGATTCCAGCTCCGCCGGTTCGGGGTACGTTGGAATCTGGAGCGCCTTCTTCGATTTCCAGCTACCTGGAGACCAAGTAGAGGCCATAGCCCGCGCTCGTACGCCCTTAGATACGGGAATCATAGTATAACCAAAGATTTTTGGGTATTCATCCTTTATAGGAGTGGCAGGCAGCAGACGGGAGGCGTTTGCAGCGGGATTGAGGCTGGCTGTGAGGGTGGGAGCTGCCATCGAGAATTCGGGGAGATCGCCGGCGAATGCTCCGGTTAAGGTTAGAGGTTTTGAGGAGAAGAGAGATAACCTCTGCCGGCGTTGCAGTTATCTAATCTTCGTCGTCCTCCTTTTTCTGTCTTCACCGAGTTAGGCTGTCTGGTTGGAGGGAACGGTGAGGCGAGCGGGGAATATTTTCAGCGGAATGACGGATCTACCCTCGCGGGGTTGCCACAAGCGACAGAATTCGAATATCCTGTTAGGACAATTCTCGGCCTTTGGTTTTTGAATTGGAAAACTTATTTATAACGTTTCATAAATGTAATATTTCATGCATAAATTTAAAGCATTAATGTGCTATATATTTAAATATGAAGGTTTAGATGTGAGATAGATAAATATATTGGAATTATGTGCTAGGCATGTAAATTTCCTATATATATATATATAGAGAGAGAGAGAGAGAGAGAGAGAGAGAAATATAGGAACAAAATGATTTACTATTTAATAGAGCTTATTATGAGCTACATAAAATTCTTAAACATTGAGTTATTTGGTTTGTTAATAAATATTTTTTTCTTGGAATTTATTTTTTATTTAAGAAAATAAAGAAAAAAATGTGTTTTTAAAAGTTGGCTATGATGTTGGGGCCCTATTCAAGACAAGAAAATACATATTTCTCTCATTATAATGACTAATTCATTCACTAAATAATCATATCAATATTTCCACACTGTCTATGTACTCATAGATACTTTTTAATGCTATTGGTAGATCACATCTATTAAATCAAGTTGATAATTAGTTTGAGACATCTTATTATTTTAACTAGTCATTCTAATGTATATTGTATTATCTAACAAGACAAATGTATTTCTCCAAAGGGTGTGCGCCTGTAAGTCGTTTTCAGCTTCTCCCATTTTTTTTAGTAAGAAATGGGATCTTCAGATGCCTAGTTGGAAATTTGGCATCAACACCCATCCAATAATATATCAGATGAAACAATTTCTAGAAGCCTCAAATGGAGTTCTTTTCTTGCACACTGGGTCTGCAACTTTTTGTTCTCATTTTCAAGAGTCAACAGCTTCACTTGAAAAGCTCTCAAATTTGTAATATTCCGATAGAGAGTGGCACGTGTCTCCATTAGGTATTCTCAAGTATTATTCAACTTCCAACTTTGCTTAGCGAGAAAAAAATCAACATTGAGGATAATTCAATCATACAATCTACTAGTTGATCTCTCAAGGCTAAAATATGTTTTGCAATGGCATGATACATTTGCTTATACTCACGTAGAAGATATTTGATCTTAGTGACTCTGTGTTGCATGTCTTTAAGGAAAGATCCAACTCATCTTCTGTCTTTGTCAATACTCTCTCATTAGGATTCTGAACTTTCTTGAGATTTTTAGGGGGCCAGGATTCCTGAAATATTAGGATCTCAAAGGATAATCAGACACAGAAAATGCCCCTCGTAAAAGGCAACTTTAGCAAAGGATACGGGGCAAAACCAACCTAGGAAAGAAGACAGTGTTAACCTTGGAGATGGGGCAACACTAACCCATAAAAGAGGGCTACACCAGCCAAAAAATATTTCCGGTGGAATGATAGATCCACCCTCAGTCTTTTATTTTTCAATTGAAAAACTTATTAGATGATTTTTTTATACTTCCAAAGTATCAACTTTTTTGTACGAAACAATAGAAAAGTTTATTAATTCAACTGCATTGATCCATAAAGCTCAAGCTAAGGATGACTCGACTTTTTTACACTTATCAACACACTAATTCATGAATAAATTTAAAGCACCAATGTTATGTAAATATAAAAGATATGCAAATACATCAGAATTGTGTGATGGGCATGTAAATTTCATTCATATGTATATGTATGCCCACACACACACACACACCCACACACACACACACACACACACACACACACACACACACACACATGAAGCTATTGTAGTCACCGGCTGCAATCTCTATGTCCAACTAACATACTCCGCAACCATGACATAATCACCAACCTTGATCTATGAGGCCAATTGCCACTACAACTCCAACTGTGGCCTTTGTGATCAACTGACATTATTTGAGACACCAACTATGACATTTGTCACGAAGTACTACTATTATATTCTTCAACTACAATGTGACCAAGTATCACTATTGCAACTAGTTTACGAACTTTGTGACCAGTTATTGCTATTATAGGTAGAACTATATATGTTGTAGCACAATTATTATTATTAATAATAAATTATTATTGTACGTATGTGATTATTAGTTTTGTAATTCAATCTTCTTTTATTCAGAAGAATAGTGGACATGTGCACTTACACTCACATGATGGACCTCATATTTTTTCTCATGTAAAAACCTTTGGTATCTCCTCTCGCTACTTCTCAATTATTTGTATGTTATGGATCTTCAAACAACATTAAAACGTTAAATTATTATTCTACTTGCAAATCGTTTAGCATGCAAGAATATTGAAATATATAGTTATTGTAAAGCCATGAAACGACATATATGTCATATTTAAATATTATAGGATCTACATAAATCAAATTTGAGGCAAGAAATATGCATTGTGCAAAAAAAGTAAAAAATATTAGACACTCACCAACAAGACAATAACACTCATTGTGAGATTTGTGAAGAGCGATGGTTATTAGTCTTCGCCAGGAGCCTATTTAATGGTTGCGAGAAAGAGAGAATCATTACAAATCTTACTGAGTCGATTTGCCAAATCAACAAGCCAAATGAGATAAGATTTGCACCAAATTATGTGAATATATTTATTGCAAGAATATCTACTATAATTTGTAAAATCCAACTCATTTGAAAATGAATAATTTTGAAGTTTTAATTTTAGTTGATTCATCATGTCACTAAATTAAATACTTTTCTTATATCCATCTAGCCCGACTGTTATAATAGGTCAATGATTTGGAGCATTCTTTATGGATAAAGCATATTTAGGTAGCACGTCGGATCCGTGGCGCAATGGTAGCGCGTCTGACTCCAGATCAGAAGGTTGCGTGTTCGATTCACGTCGGGTTCAAATCCCTAAAATCGGATCATTTTGAAATTTTTATTAAACAATTTCATTAACCCTTAGGAACATAAGCGTTGACTGCTGTTACTCCAAAAAGTCAGAACAAGTACTTACATAAGTAATAAATAAAATTATTTTTTAACATTTATAACTCCCAAATAATTCAAATAATGGAAAAAAAAGTATTATTTTAATTTATAAAAAATGCAAAATATATTTCTTTCATTCATAACAATATGGCACATGTATAAATATTAAGCTTTAATCGTTAGATATATGAATAAATAGGAATTGTGTGGCATGCATGTAAATCTTTCATAAGAATTCATAATAATGATGTGAAAAATTAAGTATAATTTTTTTCATTAATCAAATTTAAACAGGAAATATATGTGAAAGATTATAATTTTTTCATCTCCCTTTAATGTGGAAATATAAATATTAATTTTAATGAACGAAGTTTTTAGAAATTTTTAAATGCGATTTTAAACTTAAAATAAGTAAATGAGCTCTTTATTAAAATTTCTCAATTATGTTAATCATCACACTTAACTTTGAAATACTCACAAATTATAATATTCTCGTAAGATGCATGCGGTGTCCGATCTCCAACGTCGATTACCGTAAAGATGTATTTCGGTGAACCTCACTTTCAATTTTTTTTTTTTTAAAAAAATAGATTGCGGTGATCGACGGTGGAGATCGGACACCGCATGCATCTCTGTATGCGGTGTTCGCATGGAATAATTTCTCCTCTAAAACTTTCTTGCAATCACTCTAATTGTTCCTCCATGTTCTCACCATGTTTTGGAAACTCAAATAATGCTTGGAAACCACTATGTTGTGCAAGAGAGAGCATTGAATTTATCACTCTTCCTTTTAAGCCTTTTATGATGGCACATACATAGTAAAAATATAACTCCTCTAAAGATTTTTAACAGGAATTGTGTTTCTCATTGCAGCGTTGGGTTTCAAGGCCCTTTGCATGCTTAATCTTAGACAACACCTCTGGCGCCCAACTCTGAACCCAAAATTTTCTGCTCTCTATATGTTCATGTCGAGAGGAGTGGTGCCTTACTGTTATGATTGGTGCTAGAATTCCAATCTCTCTAGATGTACATGCTGGTGAAGTGGTGCCAAGGGGCTTGGACTGGAGTTAATGTTCCGGTCTCTTTGGTGAAGTGGCACGTTGCGCCAGACTTCCTTCTTATCTGGAATTTTACACTTGGGAGAAGTACCAAGTTTCCAAGATTGGAGCTAGAATTCTGACTTCTAACACCAAACTTTCAGCTTTTGCACCACCATTCTAGTTTTCCTTCCCACCTATTTCTTGTACAAAATAAACAAAAAACATCATCAAAATCATACAAAATCATAATATTTATTCCTAAATATAAAACTTTTTGCCACACTTCTTAGACTTATCGCATCTTTCACAGGTTATGCAGCTTGGATCTTTCACAGGTTATGCAGCTTGGATCTTTACTATATTTTTATAAAGTGATGCCCTTCAATTTAAAAAATGTATGTAATTTATCAGTGTCTTATGAATAAGTATTTTAAAAACCTTATCAAAAATAACATGGACATATATAATGATAACATATTAGTAAAGTGTTTGGAAGCCTCAAATCATATCTTTGACTTAGATAATTAATTTCATCTTCTTTAAGAATATAATATTCACCTTAACTTAACTAAACGTACTTTTAGGCTATGTTTGGCTCAACTGCAGCTTCTCAGCTTTTCAACTGCAGCTGCGCTGTCCCAGGAAGCTGCTGAGCGGGAAAGTTGGTTGTCTGTTTCGTGCAGCTGTGTGAAAACAGCTTTGAGGTAGCTGTCTGGAAAAATGACAATGCTGCCCTTGTTTGGTAAAACTGTTTAAAACAGAACTGTGATAACAATATTTTTGATACTTCCGAAGCACGTCATATCAATTTTTTGAGGCATTTACAAACATAAAACTACAAAATATTCAATGTACATTATTTACTAACTCCATACATCTTTATTTTTTTTGAAAACTCATAAATTGCAACCAGAATTCATCTATGGGATGGTGCATCTTTTAAACTGCTAAACACACCAGATAGAACAAAAATGCCCCCAAAAGAGAAATAACTTAACCA